ATTAAGGGTCTACTGTGTACAAGGCATTAGAAGGTGCAAAGATGAATGTGATGCAGTCCTTACCCTCAAAGAGTTTTACCATTTATTGTGGGAGATGAAAGAATTTGTTTCCACCACACTTTGTCTTTCCCTCCCTGCCCCACTCCCTAAATCTTTAGGTTTTGGGGATCCTGGATTAACAAAGTTAGAGAAAGCTTAGTCTGACTCTAAACATTTTAGATTTTACTTATACAACAGATGTTTATTGAGCATTTTCTAGTTGCTGAAGATACACTATAGAACCAAACAGACGGAATCTCTGTCCTTAAGGAACTTACAGTCAAATTAGGAGAGACACAATAGACAAGTAACATCATGAATAATAAAATATACAGTAATGCTAAAAAATAGAACAAGGTAAGGGGGATTAGGAGTCTCAGGTGTTAGGGAGGATAGGTTGCAATTTTAATTATTACAGAAAGGTTTGGCCTTTTTAAGAAACTGACATTTGAGCATGGATTTGACTGAGGTGATAGAATTAGCCTTGGGAATGTGTTAGCCATGGGGTATCTGAGGGAAAAGCATTGAAGGGTAAAAGTCCTATGAGGTAAGTGTGCCTGGCATCATGGCAAAGCAGGGAGAAGGCCAGTGTGTCTGGAGAGAGGGATAGTGGTAGGAAATGATAAGATGATGCCCATGAGGACATGGGGGTCAGATGTTACAGGTCCTTGCCAAGACTTGGGTTTTTTTACTCTGAGTGAAATGAGGAGCTTTGCGGGCTTTTGAGCCTAGTGGGGGTGGGGGTGGGTAGGCAGGGGAAGAACCTGATCAAACCTAAGTTTGTAAAAGGATCTCTGGCTGCTCTTTTTAGTAGATTCTCAGGGAGAAACAGAGAGGCCAGTTTGGAGGCGGTTGCAGTAACTTAGACACAGATGTTGGTACCTGTGATTAAGTGATAGCAGTAAAGGTGGTGGAGAGTGGTCAGATTCTGATTTATTTTGAAACTAGAACCAACAATATCTGCCAGCAGATTAGGTTTGGAATGTAAGAAAAAGAGGAGTCAAGGATGATTCCCAAGATTTTGGCGGTAGTAACTGGAACAATGGGGTTAATATCAACTGGGATGGGGAGAGCTTCAGGTAGAGCAGGTTAGAGAGGAAGGTTAGGAGTTCAGTTTGGGGCATTGTGCAGACACGTGGAGATGGTCATTAGGCATCTGGGTTTGCATTTCTGGGGGTCGGGGGAGAGGTCCAGACTGGAGATAGAAATTTGTGGGTTATCAGCATAAAGCCACAAGGTTGGATAATACTATCTAGAGAGTAAATAGAAGAAGAGAAAGGGCCACTGGCCATTAAGAAGGTGGGAAAAAGAGAACAACCCCACATAGGAGAGTAGGGTAAGGAAGAAACCAGAGTATGATATCTTTAAAGCCAATTGAAGAAAGTGTTTCAAGGAAGAAGAGTGATCGATTGTGTCAAATGCTTCTGATAGTTTTTATAAGATGGGGACTGATGTTGGATTTAGTAATTTGTACATATTCTTCGTATCACTTAATAGCATTTGTAATTTAATTATTTTATAACTATAGTTTAATGTCTTTCTTGCAAGAATGAAAGCTTGAAGGTAGAGACGATGTCTATTTTGTTCATTTTATTATAGTGATTATAGAGGTTCAATAAATAGCTTATATAAAAAATGGGGAGGGCCCTGTATGAGAGGGAATGTGGAGGACATTATCAGGAAGGGCAGGAGAAATCAGCTTATTGCTGAGATCTTTGCTTTAGGTTTGAGATGTTTGTTTTAGAAGGTTTACTAGAAATCTTGGGACCATTGGTATCATTTGGGTTCTAGATTTGGTGGCACAGTAAATTGACTCTACAGTCTTGTAATACATGGCAAAATTAATTATGTACTTGATACTTTTTATTTGAATGTGTTTTATTGATTTTTTTTTTAGAGAGAGGAAGGGAGAGAGAGAAACATCAATGTGAGAGAGTAACATTGATGGGCTTCCTCCTGCACTCTCCCCACTGGGGATCAAGCCCACAACCCACACATGCACCCCGACTGGGAATTGAACTGGGACCTCTCAGTCCATGAGACAAAGCTCGATCCACTGAGTCACACTGACCAGGCTGTACTTGATACTTTTGAAACATAGCAGGAAGGCTATGTAGCTAAAGTTCATGGTCAGGAAAAGAGGTTTCCTAACAGAAGTAAACAATTGAAAGAAGACCTTAAGGGGATATCGTAGTTAGTAAGAACTAGGCAAGGCTTTCTTGACAAAGGAAACAACGTTCTAAGCAGAGGGAGGGAACAAGAAAGGCCACAGGTTGGGAAAATACTGTGTGTTTGGTGGAACGACAAGTAGTTTGATCTGGTGTCTGTGCGATAGGGTGTAAGCTTTTTATTTCCCACAGAACTTGAGCAACTGCAAGTAATTCAGATCAACTGGAATGTGGGGCGGGTATGAGGTGCTGGGGGAAGATGGATGAGCTAGGTCCCAGGTCTTGATTGCCAAGTTTAGGGGCTTGAATTTTAGCTTGTATTCAGTAGAGAACCACTTTAGAATTTTAGAAGCAGGAGAGCACTAATAAGCAGAGGGAAAACAGGAACAGTGAAGAGACATGGTTGTTGATAAGGTTTAAGAAGTCTCATTTGGCATCTGAATATGGGATGTCTGCCCTAGCCAGTCATTATCTTCCTCTCTATGTAAAATCAATAAGCATATCTTTGGGTGAGGATTTAAAAAAAATGAATATAGGATACTTGTAAGACTGTGGAGAGAGGAGGCAGGAAAGCTAGTTACAATATGGCATTATTGCTCTGGCTGATTTGGCTCAACGGTTAGAGTATCGGCCTGCGATCCAGAGAGACCCGGGTTTAGTTCCTGCTAAGGGCACGTACCTCAGTTGCAGTTTTTCCCCGGCCCTGGTTGGGTCGTACGGGTGGCAGCCACTCGATGTGTCACTTTTACGTCGATGTTTCTCTCTCTCCCTCCTACTCTACCTGAACAAAAAATGGAAAAATGGCCCTGGCCGGTTTGGCTCAGTGGTTGGAGCATCGGCCTGCGGTCCAGAGAGACCCGGGTTCGGTTCCTGCTAAGGGCACGGACCTCGGTTGCAGTTTGTCCCCGGCCCTGGTTGGTCGTGCAGGTGGCAGCCACTCAATGTGTCCCTTCACATCGATGTTTCTCTCTCTCTCTCTTTTCCTCTCTCTCCCTCTCGCTCTATCTGAACAAAAAATGGAAAAATGTCCTCGGGTGAGGGTAAAAAAGAAAAATGTCTTCGGGTGAAGATAAAAAAATAAAATAAAATAAAATTCATTTCAGTTTCTGCTGAAATAGAGCAGTCAGGAGAGGAAGGATGAGGGTTGCTATCAAAATGCCTGCTACTTCTTACCTCTTGAGTGGTCAGAACAACTGCAGTAGAAGAGGGTTCACTTTGGGATAGATTTCATGTAGGTTGGGGTGAGGCGTCTGGGAATGGCAGCTACTGGTCTTGGTACTGGCAGCAGAGAGGAAGATAACAAAAGTATCTCAGAACAGCTGCAGTCCTCTGTACCTGGACCGGATTGCAAATAGAGGTGGGAACTCAGCTAACCAGGAAGGCCAGAGTGACGGGGTGGCAACTGGCATCTCTGGTACTAGACACCAAAACCAGTTTATTTGTTTTTCAAAGGACCTATTTTCCAACTTGTTCTAATGGCAGTTGAAACTACATTTCATTGATTCTGAGATGACCATGTTTTTACATTTTATATATTTGATACCAGGATGCTCTTAAAATCGATGATATGTCATACTTTAATTGGGAGTTTTCTTAGTGTTATACTTTTACAATCAGTGGTATCTTTGTTGTACTGAGTACATGCAAGAATATACGTGTGTGCTTGGTAGAGGCTGGCAGGTGTTAAAGAGGCAAGATAAGCTCTCTGTCCAGAAAAGAAGGACTCAAAGGCAGTGCTGATGTTTTAAACCTGCTATGCACTGCATATGATTATGTGAAAGGAAATCTATTGATTTTAAGATCCTTGTTAACTGTTTTGAGCAAGCTGTAATCAGGAGAATCAATCCAAAGCTACTTTGTTATTTTCCCAGTTATTCCTTATTCAGACTCAAGTTTTAGGGTCACCTTTAGGAGTCTTGTGATCCAAATTATATTAGCTTTCATTACAGATCTTGCTTACTTTCTTTTCCAAAAATTATCACTGAATTTCATGTTATGGGTCCTATTGTTCAAGTGTACTTATTGAGAGCTTATGGTGTGTTTGTCATTGTTTTAAGCACTGGGCATACAGTGATGAAAAAGAAAAGCAAAGTTTCTATATTCTAGTAGAGACGAAAGAGAGACAATAAACTTAAGAAAGTAGCTTCATATTTTGGAAACAGGAAACTGAGGTCCAAAGATGTTCAAGTGGCTTATCAAAAATAGCATAGTTGACCTAAAAATCTCACTCACCTGACTTATAGCTCAGTGCTCTTTCTATCATATCTTATAGGCTTTTTAAAAAAAATGTTTTTATTGATTTTTAGAGAGAGGAAGGGAGAGGGAGAGAGAGATAGAAACATCAGTGTGAAAAAGAAACATCAATTGGCTGCCTCCTTCACACCCCCTATTGGGAATTGAGCCTGCAACTCAACACATGGCCTGACTGGGAATCGAACCAGCGACCTCTTGGTGCATGGGTCAAGGCTCAACCACTGAGCCACACTTGCTATGCCTTACTGGCTCTCTTGACTCCAAGAATGGTATGCAAATTCTTAAGTATTCTAAATCAGAAAGTTCTAATTGAATTTTGCTGTGAGTCTCATGAAGGAGTTCTGTATAAGGCAGTGTTGTGTAGAGCAAGGAACATACGTTTTCTACCTTGTTATGCCAATAGAACATTTAGCAAATGCTTTAAGCTCTCTGGACCTTCTTTTTATCACCTGAGAAATAAAGGGGTTAGCCATCTTGCTTGTTACTTCCATAGTCCTACTGTTTGATTTGGAGTTATAGATGTGTATGTTTTCTCTTCAGCCATACACACTGCTGCTATGGATATGCTGGGAGGATCAGGTATTGAAAGCCAATGTAGAAAAGTTGACATCATTGCAGATGCTGCCTATTCCATTTTCAAAAAGCCTAAAAGTTTTACTGGTAACTTTATTATTGATGAAAATATCTTAAAAGAAGAAGGAATAAAAAATTTTGACGTCTATGCAATTAAACCAGGTAATGCTTATTGTTTTTTAAAAAGTGATGCTTTTTTCTACATTTTCTGAAATTCTCTTTTTTGTATGTGTTTTTGTGATTATAAAATTAATATGCTCTTTTAAAAGCTGTCCTCCCAATAAAGGGACAAACCCACACCAACACACCTTAAAGAAGAAAGGAAAAGTAGAAGTGAGTTGAGGAGAAGAAAGGAGAAATAGAAGTGAGTTGAGGACTTTAAAGGGGATATACAGATACAGAAGGTCACACCAGGTATTAGCCATTTCCAAATCTTAAAACCAAAACTGAAAATTAGTTTTTAAAGTTGGTTTTAAAATCACAGAGTAAAGATTTTATTCAAGGATACGGTAACAGAAGATACAGTAATAGGTTTTTCACAAAAACTTTTTAAGATTATGGGCTTTTTTTCTAAAAGTTTGTCTCTTAAATGCAGTCTCTCAGAGTAGCTTAATGGCAGATGGTGAAGGTGAGTGAGGCGGGTCTGTCTGATGCACAAGGGTATGATGTGAGAGTTCTCGGCAGTCCTCTGTTCACAAGTCATTCTCCTCTCTGAAATCGCAGATGCTGCTGCTGCTGCTGATAATGCATTTTACTTTATGTATAAAATATAACGTATACTAAAGACTAGACACATAGTCATTATTTATGCTAAAGTATTTTACATATTATTCATTAGGTTGAACATTTAGACTTGTATCATCCTTGTTTCTTCAGTTTGGACTGAATTCAATAAAATAGCTCTTAACAGTTTTATAAAGCACTTGTATATACACTGTCTAGTTAACCTCATTGTAATCCTGTGAGGGAAGCAATATCATTTCGTGATTAAGAACATGGGGTTTGGGAAAGACAACTCTGGTTCTGATCCCTGTTCAGCTGCACTGTAGGTATGTCACCCACTGTCTCTGAGCTTCACTTTCCTTATTGGTAAAACTAAGGGAATGAATTATACCTTCCACATAGGATTTTCGTAAGAACTAAAAGCAGTAATGTGTATAATGTGCTTGGCACGGTACCTGGCATGTGCTATAATCACAGTATTCAGTAGTTAATATTTACATTAGAAAAACAGATTCAGAGAGATTATTAAGCCTTTGTGTAAGAGTAAGTGGCAGAATCTGAACCAGATCCAGGTCTTCTGGGCCCTGGTACAGTGTAATTATCACTTTAGGTGTTAAGGACATAGTGTTTTTATGCACAACATTTTAAATTTGATTTGAATTAAAATCCTGTCAAGTGTTAAGAACTTACTATAATTAGGTACTGTGATATGTGTTAGGATATAACAAACCCAATACATTCCTGCTCTCCTGTTTTTTGTTGTTGTTGTTTTTTTAAATCTGAGAGGGAGGAACAGACAGACAGAGACAGAGGAATCCTTTTCTTAAGGAGGAATCCCCTTCTCTCTGGGGCCAGGTAGGAAATGAGTCCTAAGCACTTTGGAGGGATGTAGGACAGAAGGGTTGCTTGGAGGGGCAAAGGCTCCTGGGAGAGCGGTTAAGGGCTTAACATAACAGGTGACTCTTTGGTTGAATCTTAGGGATGAAATTTGTCATGGGGAGAATGATAAATGGGTTATGGGGAAATTATTTTACCTTAGTGGTCAGGTAATTTAACAGTTCTCATGGGGGTCTTTCCATTGCACTAGAATGATCATTTAAATAAAAACATATAATATTTATTAAACAGGCGTTACAGTCTTAATATATTGAAGTTGTTACAGTAATCTAATTATTTTGGTGGTCATTTTTTCAGGTAATCCTTTGTTACCAGATTTCTTCTTAGATGAATACCCAGATACAGTTACCAAGAAAATGGAATCACATGGTAAGATATAGACCATATTTTATGTAGGGAATTAAAGATACGTATAATTGGACATTTCTGTCTTTTGCTTTAAAAATTTTGTGATATAAACTAGACAAGTAATGCGAAGTCTTAATTTATTCTAACAAAGAAGATTGTCCTTCAAATATCACATGATCTCACTTATTTGTGGAATATAATGAACATAACAGTTTGAGGAACAGGGTAGACCCAGAGACGTGGAAGTAGGGTACAGACTGACAACCCTCAGAAGGGAAGGGATAAACCACAGAACTTATATGCACGTATGCATAACCGATGGACATGGACAACAAAGTTGGGGACGAGGTGGGGAGGATGGGGAGGAGGATGTCAATGGGGAAAAAGGGAGAAACATCTGCAACAAAAATAAATTAATAAAAAATAGAAGATTATCCTTTTTTCTACCAGTAAGAAGTTCTTAACATCCTTTGATTTGATTTAACTTAAACAGTTGTCTGAAAGCCCTGGTTGGTTTGGCTCAGTGGTAGAGCTTCGGCCCATGGACCAGTGAGTCACGGGTTCCATTCTGGCCAAGGGCACGTACGTTGGTTGCGGTTTGTCCCTGGCCCTGGTCGGGGTCATGTGGGAAGCAACCAGTCGATGTGTCCTTCTCATGTCGATGTTTCTCTTTCTCTCTCTCTCTCTCTCTCTCCCTCCCTCCCTGTCTCCCTCTGACTCTATCTGAAGATAAATAGAAAAATATCCTCAGGTGAGGATTAAAAAAAAAAAAACAGTTGTCTGGAAAAATATCCCAACCCTTTTTTAAGGTTTTATTTCTTTTCCATGGCACTGTCTTTAGGTATTTTGTGTTGATGTGTTATTTTATTTTGAGCGAAAATGTGTCACATCAAAGTACATCTAATACCATTCTCAGTTTGTGACTATGGGAGAAATTAACTTCAGAGGAGGTTTTAATTTTACTGTGTTTTGTTTTTATAATTCAGAAACAATAGCCCCTTGAATTGATTCAGAGTTTACATGTTGGTCTTTGTGTTCTGGTATGCCACTGTCTTACTGAAAGATGTCAGAGGAGATGCTCTTCAACGAAGACCCACGAGAAGAATTTCTCAACGTGGTTTATTAACAAGAATAGTTATTCTTCTGGGCTCTGACCTTATTTTTATCTTATGGACACTGAATCTCCTAAGTGATCATGGATTCTTTTTTTTTTTAAATCCTCACCCAAGGATAATTTTCCATTTATCTTCAGATAAAGTGGTGGGAGGTTGTGAGAGAAAGAGAAACATCGATGTGAGAGAGACACATGGACTGGCTACCTCCCACACGACCCTGACCAGAGCCAGGGACCAAACCACAACCAAGGTACGTGCCTTTGACTAGAACTGAACCCTCGACTCTTTGGTCTGTGGGTCTACGCTCTAACCGCTGAGTCAAACTGGCCAGGGCGATCATGGATTCTTTAGATGGCTGCTAGAAAATTTAAGAACAAATTTCCTTTATATATTTAGCAAACTTATGGTCCCTTACTGCAAATGCATTTTCGTGCTGAACCCTTCTGAGTTAAACTTATCCTTTCTATCTTTATCTGTTCTTTCTCCAAATTATTGGAGATAGTTTTAAAAATTTCTTAGGAAATTTTTCTTTTGTATTGTAGAAAATTTGAAAAATATAGAAAGAAAAAAAGTTAATTTAAAATCCCATCACTCAGAGATAGTTCTTTTTAAAATTTAAATTCTTTTTATTTTAAAAATTAGATACGACATTGGATATATCAGAGTATTAAAATAAGACTGTCAGTCTTTATCTCAAAAGACCTTTTACAGAATGGCAGAAATTAGTTAGGGAGCTTATCAAAGTCTAATAGAGGCAAGTTCAAAATCCTGATTTTTGCCTAGCACTCTAAGATTGGATCTGTCTTTTGGAAGAAGATGTACACGAACTGAGCTCATTTATATTCTAAGTTTAATATATGCATAACCAGTGGACACAGACAATAATGTGGTGAAGGCAGGGAGTGCAGGAGCAGGAAGGAGGTCTATGAGGGGGAGGAGGACACTTTCAACAATTAAGATAAATTTTTTAAAAATTCCAAATTTAAATAATAAGCACCACTCATTGATCACATATATTTATTTTGTTTTTCAACAAATATGTATTAAGCACCTATTGTGTGCCAAACACTGTACTACATACTTTGCATGCATTGTGTCATTTAATAATACTTACGATCCTATAAGACAGGTATTATTATCCTCATTTTACATCTGAGATCACACAGCTGGCAGGTGGCAGAACCAGGATTTGATTTTATCTTTCTCCAGTTCCAAACGCATATCTTTAACCCATCAACTTAAATTGCTTTCCTAACTCCTGAATACTTCAAGTCCTTTAAATTAGCATATATCCCTCCCCCCCATAAACCAATTTATTAATTTATAATAAGAAGTTGCCCTCTTATGGACTAAATATGTAGTTGCCATGATCATCTTATTCTTTCCCTTTGGGCATAATTACATAGGGAACAGAATCATAGTCAGCAGGTCGTATCACGGCCATGGAATCAGAACAAGAGAGGTCAGGTAAGTAAAATGTAAAATAAATATTTATTGGCATCGGGTTTTGATAGGAATGATTTTGCCTGTGGGATCAGAATATGTCAAGTGCATTGACTGTAATCCATATATGCATCTGCCCATGAGAGATGCCCTCATCCTTTTGAGGTCAGAATCCTCACATTCCTTTGGCTAAAGCTTCTCTTCTCCATACATGCTGAGAGAGCATTTACTTCGTTAGCTCTCTTTTCCGTATTCTTCCTGCTTCAGTCAATTGCAATTATGCTTGACATTTTCTGTAGACATATTAATGCATTCATATAGGTTTTAGGCCAGTATATTTGGCCTGGGATCTAACTTATTTTTTTTCAGATAATATTTTACATTCACATCCAAACCCATATATGTTGACATTACAGTTATCCTCTCAGAGGTTGGTGTGTATCCCTCATTTCCAAAGGGAGAGAGGGGCTCACCTTTATATTGTACCCATTCTTCTTTTTTTTAAATCCTCACCAGAGGATATTTTTTCATTTATCTTCAGATAGAGTGGGAGGGAGGGAAGGAGGAAACGGGAGAGAGAGAAAAAGAGAGAGAGAGAGAGAGAGATCAACTGGTTGCCTCCCACATGACCCTGACCAAGGCCGGGGACCAAACTGCAAGCAAGGTACATGCCCTTGACCAGAATCGAACCTGTGACTCTTTGGTCCGCAGGCCAGCGCTCTAACCACTGAGAAAAACTGGCCAGGGCTGTATCCATTCTTTAATTATCCTGTTAACATTTTATCGTACATAATTTTAAATTAATGCTTTTTTTCATATTAAAAGCAGTGCTGTCATTTTTTCGTTGACCACCCCCCCCCCCCCTTGCAATGGCATTCATCTTGGTGGTGTTGGTTTTTTTTTTCTTTCTTTTTTTAAAGATTTTAGTAGCTTCTGTTCTAGTTGCTCTGAATCCTCCTCAGCAACTTCTTAGCCTGGCTATCCTTTCCCTTTTCCCTGTGGTTATCACCATCTCTTATTATTTCCATCCTTTGTTCTTTTTCTGCATTCTGGGCGACCTTTTCAAGTTTGTACTCTATACTACTTGATAAGATCTTTGACACTTTCATCTCTGTTCCATTTTGCCTCTAATGTTCATTTTAATTTTGCTATTCTTTGTATCTCAGGTTTCCCATTTTCTTTTCATTTTGTTCTATTGTCTTTTCATCTCAGTTATTCTATTATCTTTTCATCTGTCTCATATAGTTTTCATGTTAAGGAATTCTTGTTTAGAGATAGAGTTTTGCTGTTCAGAATAACCTTCCATTACCCTGGTGGTACGTTGTTCTTTCATAGGCATCAGATATTTTTTTCCCTGTTAATTCAACCTTATATTAGGAGATATCTCCAGAGCTAGTGCAGTCAAATGATGGGGATATACAGGTTGCTTTTGGCTCTCCTCCCTGTCCATCTGATGGATATCCTTCTCAGAGCTATAGTTTCTGTTGTGGCACCTGTGAGGCATATAGCTAGTGCCAGTTGCAGGGCTGACATGGACCTTCTTTTTTTTCTTTTTTTTTTTTATCCTCGCCTGAGGACATTTCGCCATTGTTTTTTCAGATAGAGTAAGAAAGAGAGAGAGGAAGAGAAAGAGAGAGAAACATCAATGTGAAAGGGACAAATCAAGTGGCTGCCTCCCACACGACCCAACCAGGGCTGGGGACAGACTGCAACCGAGGTACTTGCCCTTAGTGGGAACCAAACCTGGTTCTCTCTGGACCGCAGGCCGATGCTCTAACCACTGAGCCAAACTTGCCAGGGGGACATGGACCTTCTTTTACCTCCTCTGCTTAAAACCTACTCTCTTCAGCATGTCTTGATGCCAAGGTCCTTCCCTTCCCCATCTTTATCAGTCATGCTTTGGGTGGCATGTACTTCCCAGGATGAACCACTACCTGGACCTTCTCTTCTGTCTGCTCTTATGGTATTTGGGAGCTGTGAGCTTTGAAATTGGATCTGAAATACAGGGGTGCCCTGGTTGGTGTGGCTTAGTTGGTTGGAGCATCATTCTGTACACCAAAAGATGGTTGGTTTGTTTCCCAGTCAGGGCACATATCTGGTTGCGGGTTTGACCCCCCTAGTCAGAGCATGTATGGGAGGCAACTTATTGCTGTTTCTCTCTCACATCAATGTTTCTCTCTCTCTCTCTCTCTCTCTCTCTCTCTCAAAATCAACAAATAAATAAAAATTTTAAAAGAGATAGCTACTTTAAAAAAGAAATATAGAGGATTCAGAGCAACTAGAACAGAAGCTACTAAAATCTTTAAAAAAAGAAAGAAAAAAAAAATCAACACCACCAAGATGAATGCCATTGCGGGGGGGGGGGGGGTCAACGAAAAAATGACAGCACTGCTTTTAATATGAAAAAAAGCATTAATTTAAAATTAATGAAAAGCAGGATTCTGGAACAGAGGGGTAGATTTT